TTAGATAGAAGTATATATTTTTTTTTTATGTATTGATGATATATAAAGATTTTTATTATTTATATATATATATATTATATATATATTTATTATTTGATATATAGATATATTATATATATATAGTTATTATAGATATATAATATAATATATATTTGATATTTATATATTTATTAAATATATAATATTGATTATATACTATAATATATATAGATATATATTTATATATTAGGTATATATATATATTATAAATATAGATATTATATATATATATATATTTATATATATATATATATAATATTACTTAGATATATAATATATAATATATATAATATATATATATCATATATATAATATAATATATATAATATATATCTATATATATTATTATAATATATTATATATATATATATATAATTATATTATATACTATATATATATTTATATATATTAAATATAAAATATATATATATAATAATATATATATATAATATATATACTATATATATATATATATAATATATATAATATTATATTATAGATATATTAATATATATAATATATATATATATAATATATATATATATTTAATATATATACAATATATATTTATTTTAATATATATATATATATATATATATATATATATATTTAATATATATATATTTAATATATATATATATATATATTTAATATATATATGATTATATATATAGATTTAATATATATATATATATATTTATATATATATACTTTATATTATATATATATATATATAATCTATATATATATATAAATATATTACACACACACTAATAAGATCACAGTAAACAGGTGATATCAAAATATGCAAAACACACTGTGAAAGAATAGATCGCCTAAACCGCCCCCCCGAAATCCGTGACTTTCACATTATAAGGTAATCAAAAGCCCACTTAAAGTTAAGCTCAGGGATCAGCATACTGTTAGAGACCAAAAATGTGTGCAGTTTGCAGCCCATTATTTCCTGTTTCTGTCACAAGTGGATAAATAGGAAATTTCAGATATCAATAATTTATATGGATCAGGTCGAAAATAAAATAGTCACTGTGATATGATGTTAAAAACTAGACAGAGTTAAGGTAAACAAATCGCCGGGTCTTGAGCTGTTTCTCAGGATTCTGAAGGAGTATATGGAGCTTAGCAGGACTTTTCTGAAGGATTATAAGGAGCTTAGCAGACCATTAGCTGGTCTTTTCAACAGATCACTGCAAAGTACAAAATAAATGGAAAATGGAAAATATGATACCAATTTACAAAACGGTAAATAGGTCCTTGCAAATTATAGAGAAATAAGCCTTAATCTCAGTTGTGGGAAAGTGATGAAATCTATAATTAGCTGTGTAATTCCAAGCAATTGAAAGGACGTAATTTGATCAAACAAATTTCAGCATGGTTTTAGAAAGGGGTGCTCTTGCTTACGAATTTCCTAACTTTTTTGCACTAAGATATTCGAGGTGGTAAACCAAGATAAAGAATACGATATTGTTTGTATGAAGTTCAATAAGACCTTTAATAAAGTTTAACAGGAGACTGATGAAGTAGCAGCACGTGGAATTACAGGAAAAAATATCTCCTGGGTCGAGGAATGGCGACCGACATTGAACAAGAGTCTTGGTAATTAATGGGGAGAATGTGAATGAGGACTTGTTAAGAGTGAAGAGCCGCTGGGCTCGGTGTTGGGACCCTTGTTGTTCACAATCTACATAAACGACATTTATAACAGAATGAATTGCGACATAAATAAGTTTGCCCATGATACTAAAATAGGCAGTCAGGTAATTTCTGATGCGGACACAAGAAGGCTTCAGGACGACCAGGACAGGTTGATGTGGTCGGGAAAGTAGCGGATGCAGAACCATGCAGACAAGTGTAATGTTCTAATCCTAGGAAAAGAAACTAACTTCGGCTCTGGTAAGTCAATTAATGTAGAGTCTTGCCAAAGTGAATGCGAAAATGATTTAGGAATTCTAATTAGTAGAAATTTAAAGCCAGTGTTCGCAAAAAAAAGCCAATAGAATTCCTAGCTTCTTATAAACTATAAATAATAGAAACCCTAAAGTTGTACTTCATCTTTATATATATTTGGTTAGACTTCATTAACATTATCCTACAGGATGGACGACGAAGTTGATTCCGTGTATTAAAAACTTCTCCTAGGAAAACAACCTGAAGGCATTAAATGCGCACCTTTGGAAACACTTGAAGTTAGGGGACATACTACTGAAGTGTACAAATGGAAAAACAGATATAATAAGCGGGATATAATCTAGCGTGTTGAAAATATTAACCTCAAACTGGACTCAAGAATGATTCAAGGTTCGAGAAATTTAGATTTAGAAAGGATATTGAGAAGTACTTGTTTGGCAGTAGATGAGTTGGGGAAACTTGCAGTCAGCGTCACTGGGGCAAGAACTTTCGGTAACTTTAAATATAGATCGACACCATGCCTAACCCTTCTAGGGTAGGGTAGGTGCCTGAGTCCGGCTTTAGCTCATAAGGACGTCATTCCCATTTAGCCTCTTGGGGTGGGAGATGGCAGACCAGGGCCTAGCTTGTGGCTAGGTCATTGGGGACAGTTGGTCCCAAAGATGATGGTGGTACTGTGCACTTTCCCTGGGAGACTTAGGTCTCAGACCACTCCCTAGAGAGGGAGCCAAGGCCGGGCCACCACTTGGAAAAGGCCCGGGCCGGGAGAATACCGACGAATATTTAATAATAATAATTTAAATATAGGTTGGACTACTACGTGAGTGGGTTTGGGAAGAATTGAGTTAAACTTGCCTAAAATGGGTCAGTAGGCCTGCTGCAGTGTTCCCCTTGCCTTCTTTCTCTTCCTCCACGCCTCCCTGCTGGTTTCTCTTCCTCCAAACCTCCCTGCTGGTTTCTCTCCCTCCACACCTCCCTGCTGGTTTCTCTCCCTCCACACCTCCCTGCTGGTTTCTCTCCCTCCACACCTCCCTGCTGGTTTCTCTCCCTCCACACCTCCCTGCTGGTTTCTCCTTCCTCCAAACCTCCTGCTGTTCTCTCCCTCCACACCTCCTGCTGTTCTCTCCCTCCACACCTCCCTGCTGGTTTCTCTCCCTCCACACCTCCCTGCTGGTTTCTCTCCCTCCACACCTCCCTGCTGGTTTCTCTTCCTCAAACCTACAATGCTGGTTCACCCCTCCACACCTCCCTGCTGGTTTCTCTCCCTCCACACCTCCCTGCTGGTTTCTCTCCCTCCACACCTCCCTGCTGGTTTCTCTCCCTCCACGCCCCCCTGATTGGTTTCTCTCCCTCCATCGCCCCCTGCTGGGTTTCTCTCCCTCCACACCTCCCTCTGGTTCTCACCCTCCACACCTCCTGCTGGTTTCTCCTCCCTCCACGCCCCCCTGCTGGTTTCTCTTCCTCCAAACCTCCCTGCTGGTTTCTCTCCCTCCACACCTCCCTGCTGGTTTCTCTCCCTCCACGCCCCTGCTGGTTTGTTTCTCCCTCCACGCCCCCTGCTGGTGTTCTCTCCCTCCACGCCTAGCTTTTTTTTCCTGGTTTCTCTCCTCACGCCTCCCTGTGGTTTCTCTCCACTCCACGCCCCTAGCTGCTGGTTTCTCTCCCTCACACCTCCTGCTGGTTTCTCTCCCTCCACGCCCCCCTGCTGGTTTCTCTCCTCACGCCCCTGCTGGTTTCTCTCCCTCCACGCCCCCTGCTGGTTTCTCTCCACCTCCACGCCCCCAGTGGTTCTCTACCTCATCCCCCTGTGGTTTCTCTCCCTCCAGCCCCCCTGTGGTTTCTCTCCCTCCACACCTCCCTGTTGTTTCTCTCCTCCACGCCACCCCTGACTGGTTTCTCTCCCTCCACACACTCCCTGTTGGTTTCTCTCCCTCACACCTCCTGCTGGTTTCTCTCCCTCCACACCTCCTGCTGGGTTTCTCTCCCTCCACACCTCCCTGTTGGGTTTCTCTCCTCCCATCGCCCCCTGCTGGTTTCATCTCCCTCCACACCTCCCTGTTGGTTTCTCTCCCTCACACTCCCTGCTGGTTTCTCTCCCCTCACACCACCCTGTTGGTTTCTCTCCGCACACCTCCTGTTGGTTTCTCTCACTCCACACCTCCCTGTTGGTTTTCTCCTCCCTCCACACACTCCCTGCTGGTTTCTCTCCTCCACACCTCCCCTGTTGGTTTCTCTCCCTCCACTACCCTGTTGGTTTCTCTCCCATCACGCCCCCATGTGGTTCTCTTCCCTCCACACCTCCCTGCTGGTTTCTCTCCCTCCACACCTCCCTGTTGGTTTCTCTCCCTCCACACCTCCCTGTTGGTTTCTCTCCCTCCACACCTCCCTGTTGGTTTCTCTCCCTCCACACCTCCCTGCTGGTTTCTCTCCCTCCAACACTCCCTGCTGGTTTCCTCTCCCTCCACCCCTCCCTGTGGTTTCTCTCCTCCACACCTCCCTGTTGGTTTCTCTCTCCACGCCCCCCTTGCTGGTTTCTCTTCCCTCCACACTCACTGTTGGTTTTCCCCTCCACAACCTCCTGTTGGTTTCTCTCCCTCCACACTCCCTGCTGGTTCTCTCCCTCCACGCCCTTCCCTGCTGGTTTCTCTCCTCCCACACCTCCTCTGCTGGTTTCCACTCCCTCCACGGCGCCTAGCTGCTGGTTTCTCTCCCTCCACGCCTACCTGCTGGTTTCTCTCCCTCCACGCCTAGCTGCTGGTTTCTCTCCCTCCACGCCTCCCTGCTGGTTTCTCTCCCTCCACGCCTAGCTGCTGGTTTCTCTCCCTCCACGCCTCCCTGCTGGATTCAGTAGAACGTGGTTTCAAATATTTTATACTTAAGAGTTCTTATTTTTTTGTAATTGCTAGATCAAGTACTAGTGTGCTGGACCTAGCATATTACCATTGTTGAAAAGTTATGTTTTGATGTTAATTCATATTTTTATATTATTTTAACCGCAAATCTTTTTCCTGTTTGTTAATGTGTGGATGTTGTAGGGTGACGGAGGTGCTCCACTGGTGTGTAGGCCTGAAGGTGGAGGCTGGACAGTAGTAGGTCTGGTAGCCTGGGGTATCGGCTGTGCTAGTAGTGAGGTGCCAGGTGTCTATGTCAGTGTTCCTGCCTTTGCTAACTTCATCCGTCAACATGTAAGGTAAGATGATACATTTAGTATAGAAAAGTGTACGGGGCGCTATGCACTAACATGAACTGTAATTGATTAGATTTAGATTTTGCCACCGAAGTGGCTAGTTTATTGTGCACCCCATATCCATCCTGTGGTGGGTAGCGCGAGAGCATGTGGATACACAAAAGGCCTAGGAACTAGGCCCCAAAGGGTTAATGTTATTGAACTACAGTGAAGAGACTAAAAATATACTAAGAGGTAGAAACTGGCAATATGTCAATTGTAGTTTTTTACCAAATTGAGAGTGTAATATTTTGTCTCTTTCAGAGCGTAGAAAAGTGATCCTGACGGTGTATATTAGCTTGTGCCGCCACCAGGAGTTGCAGCCTCATCCACCATCCTCTCTGCTGACACTCCTGTTATGGTCCTTCTTTTGCTGCCAGAATTGGTAAAGAAATAAATCAATAACTGCCTTACAATAAATCTTTTCGAAAAATCTTATTAAATTTTATGGAATTACAAAGTTTTTTCATATTGAGACAAAGCGAACACAGCAATCTCGTCTAAGTTATCTGTATTTAACCTAAAATAATTTTGAAGTTTTTTAAATGAAATTTAAATTTAGAATTATTTAATATGATTAAAATATATTAATTTCGTGATGCTCAAATTTGTTAGCGGAATAAGTGCAACAAGGAATCTTTACTAGTCTTGTTTGAGGCAGATGACAAGTTGTGCCTATAACAGCTGTTATAACAGCTATTATAACAGCTATTATAACAGCTATTATAACAGCTATTATAACAGCTGTTATAACAGCTATTATAACAGCTATTATAACAGCTATTATAACAGCTATTATAACAGCTGTTATAAGACATCAAACTTGCTGGACTACTAACACCTGCAACACCTGGTTTACACTTAGTAACTGAATATAGAGTTAGTGAGTCTAGGTTGTTTAACCTGTTATAATGGTTCACACGTCGCACACTTAACTACATTTATCTATTATTGTATAATAAAATGCTTTCTTCATCCGGATTTTATTTTCTTGAATCACCTCAAAGTTCTTAATTAACTACGATATTTGAAAACAGATTTGTAACAACAAAAGCAAATGAAAACTTTGTTTTTGAAGTTACAAATCAGTTTAATATCGTAGTAATAAGTCAACATTGGTTTTGGCACTTATTAATTCTTTAAGATATTTCCTTCTACCATCAGTGTTTGACAATATGAAAAATCTAATATCTTCATTATGCACTCCATACCCATCCTATGGGCGGAAGTCACTCCATACCCATCCTATGGGCGGTAGTCACTCCATACCCATCCTGTGGGCGGTAGTCACATCCATACCCATCCTATGGGCGGAAGTCACTCCATACCCATCCTATGGGCGGTAGTCACTCCATACCCATCCTGTGGGCGGTAGTCACTCCATACCCATCCTATGGGCGGAAGTCACTCCATACCCATCCTGTGGGCGGTAGTCACTCCATACCCATCCTGTGGGCGGTAGTCACTCCATACCCATGCTGTGGGCGGTAGTCACTCCATACCCATCCTGTGGGCGGTAGTCACTCCATACCCATCCTATGGGCGGTAGTCACTCCATACCCATCCTATGGGCGGTAGTCACTCCATACCCATCCTGTGGGCGGTAGTCACTCCATACCCATCCTATGGGCGGTAGTCACTCCATACCCATCCTGTGAGCGGTAGTCACTCCTACCCATCCCATGGGC